TCTCTCTCTCTCTCTCTCTCTCTCTCTCTCTCTCTCTCTCTCTCTCTCCTGTGACTACTTTGCGCGCCAGCAATTTGCAACACCTGAACGTATATTTCCACGAACACGGGAAGATTCATTCCCTATTTGCAACTTCAAACTAAGAGAGAGAGAGAGAGAGAGAGAGAGAGAGAGAGAGATGCACGGCGAGCTGCGCAGAGTGCCGCGGCAAACTCGCCGTGGCTCTCTCTCTCTCTCTCTCTCTCCCTCTCTCTCTCTCTCTCTCTCTCTCTCTCTCTCTCTCTCAGTTTGAAGTTGCAAATAGGGAATGAATCTCTAACACTCCTCACCGCAGAGCCCCTGGAATCCCCAACAAAACATTATAGAATTCTCTAACACTGTCTTATTCCCTGCCGAGCTTTCCCAGGCCTCATGCCCCCATCCTGCTACGTTACAAGGCAACACAACTCACCCCAGCTCCGGCCAGCGTCGTACCGACAGCAACCCTTGGTTTTCCCTTGGAATGCCCGGCCCAAGGCATCCCCAGATCTCAAGAAGAACTACAGAGTGCGGACCGATTTCCTTCGTCGAATTTGACTGACAAATGCTCCTACCACAAACCCACATAAACCAGTCCAGACGAATGCATCATGTACATTTAGACAATGCATTGGTGTGTTCGTTGAGTCGAGAGACGGGTTACCATCTCCCTCGATAGAGTAAATACGAACAGAAATAGTCTACCGCGGACTACACGGTTTAGGCTACCAACCGCCCTTGGGTGGCATCCGATGTTTTTTTTTTTTTTTTTTTTTTTTTTCATGTCAACCCATTACAAATTCATAAAGCCTGTAAAAAACAAACCAAGACTTCCAAAAGCAAGGCAAGCTGTTACTGTCTGAAAGCGAGGGAGTTTTACAACTTGTCTAAGGAGACTGACCATGTTATGTCACTCGAACAGTTTCAGACTCTTCCCCTTCTCAGATTGATGTTTCCATTCAACAGGTGGTTGACGAGTTTGCTGATTTGGCTCAGAACCTGCTAGACTTGTCCATAGGCAGACCAAGCACTACATCCAAATTATGCCTGACTCTACCCTTCCCAAGGGAAGAGTACAGAATGTCACCTACTGAACTGGATGAGTTGAGGAAGCAGTTAGAATCCTTGACAAAGAAGGGATGGATCATACCTAATTCATCTAAGTATGGGGCACCACAGTTCTCTTAGTTCCAAATGGAAATGGTGAGCTCGGGATGTGCTTAGACTACAGAGGTCGGAATAAGATCACTAGGAAGAGCTATGAACCCTTGCCAGGATCATGACTTGTTGGACATGGTGTAGGGCTGCAAGGATTTAAACAAAATCGATATGAAATCCGGGTATCATCAGATCGAAATGGCTAAAGAAAACCTGCACAAGACAACCTTTGAAACCCGGTATGGTATTTGGTTATGCCATTTGGTTTGTGCAATGCACCAGCCTCCAGGTACCTTCCGGACGAAAATGAATCGCATTTTCAGACCATACCTGGATAAGTTTGTTGGGGTGTATCTGGATACATTTTGGTGTTCGACAAAACTGTTGAATACCATGCTGGTCATCTAAGAAAGATTATGCAAATTATCAGAGAGGACAAAGAAAAAATCAACAAACAAAAGTCATATTTTTGTGCCTCTTTTGTTGTGTATTATAGTCAAAGACATCTGTTTTTTCATGGGTCAAGCATCTACTATAAAAAGTTAATCAGGAACTTTTCTACTATTGCCACTCCCCAGACTAACCTGTTGGCTAAGGATGTTCTCTTTAAATGGACTCCTACATATCAGTTGGCTTTGACCCAGACACTTATGTTGAAACTACCTGACCCTACCTTGCCATTTGTATTGACTACAGATGCAAGTTACTATGGAGTTGGTGCAGTTCTTCAGCAAGATGATGAGACTAGCTTGGAACCAGTGAAATTCATGAGTAAGAAGATAAAGGTACAAAGAATCCAGGCTTCCACCAAAGTGGTTGATGCATTGTCACGAAGACCTGATACTTTTGGTGCCATTGTCATTACTTACTCCTTTGTTGATTCCACCAGGCAGACCATCGCTGATGCGTTGCCTCATGACCCAGTCTTTTGCCCTATCCATAGGAATCTACACACTGACCCCAATTATGAGTCAGGCTATGCCATTACTTCAGGCTTGCTGTACACAATCAGCGAGGGGCAAGAGCGTCTGTATATCCCTAATGATCGCAAAATCATCTCATTTCAAGGAGTCATGATGCTCGTGGTCACTTTTGGTTCCTAAAGACATATGTTGCCCTGACCCAATTGGTCTAAAATGAAGGACGATATCCCGCGTTACTCGGAATCTGTGAATTGTGCCAAAGGAACAAGGTCCACAGGCGGCCTCCTATGAGACTACTCGAACCTCTTCCAATCCCTAATGGTCCAGGTGAGTCTGTGTCCATTCACCTCACAGATTTTGGCAAGACCAGGCCACGTGGGATGAGACAGGTAATGGTTTGCATTGATAGATTTGTTGAGTATGCTAAGTTGATCACCTCACCTATTGAGGTCAGAGTACCTCTGGTCAAAGAGTTTTTCTGTGAGAGGTGGGTGAATGTCCATGGGTGCCCATCCTCCATTGTTAATGACAGAGATCCCGGATTCTGCAGTGATGACTCGCAATCTTTTTGCAAAGACTACCTGCATTCTATACTAGACATGACCTCTCAGAGACATCCTAAAGCCAATGGACAGACTGAAGTGATGAACCAAGTCTTGTCTAAGTTTTTGCGTCCTGTGATTACACCTGATCAGCAAGACTGGGACAATCATCTTTCCAGGACACAACTAATGCATAAGACATTTGTTCACAACACTACACACTTTACACCCTATAGGCTGCACTCTGCCAGACACCCCAAACAGCCTCTGGATGATCTCATTGACAAGTCCAAGCCTAAACTAACTCCTGGCACTGCAGAATTCACCAAGAGTTATGAGAAAGACCTAGAGAAAGCAAAAACTAATATGTTCAAGGCCCAGAAGAGGATGATCGAACACGTTGACAAGCATCACACTCCCTCTACCACAAGGCCAGGTCACTGGGTTTGGGTCAAAAGGTCTGAACCAACTGATGGACAATATATTTCAAGAAAGTTGTTGCCTGTGTACTACGGTCCATGTCAAGTGCTTGATAGTGTGGGGGCAGATTCATTTGGACCTTCCTCTGTGCTTGTTATACCCCCTCATATGAGGACCTATCCGGTCTTCCATGCCTCAAAACTGCTGCCTTTCACCCCTGCTGCTGCATTCTTTGATAGGCCATCGCAGTTTGGACCTCCGATCCCTGGAAAAAGGTACGAAGTTGAGAACATCAAAGATCAGTGGGGCACAAACCCCAGCTGCAAATATCTTTTAAAGTTTCCTTTCCAACCTCACACTGCTAACCGTTGGTTGAAGTTTCCCTTCCAACCTCACACTGCTAACCGTTGGTTTACACTGCTAACTGTTGGTTTACAACCTCACACTGCTAACCGTTGGTTTCCAACCTCACACTGCTAACCGTTGGTTTACAAGGAAGGAACTTCTCAAATCTACAAATTCAGTCGTGTGGTTCTACGAGGCTGAACAGAAAAGGCAGTTGCTTAGACGGTCTCCTCGTGGACACTCCTAGCTCGGGATCCTCGCTCCCTGAGAGGGTAGGAATGCAATGAATTGCAATTTTATGCGGGCTGTACACTAATTTTAGTTGTTGTTGTCTGCTTCCGAGCTCTTCAGGACTAAATCCCGTGACCTGTATTGTTGCGGTTGCGTTTCTCTGAGTGAGCCTTATTGGGCTTGATCCCTAAACCTGACTGTGGTAGTCTTCGCAGGCTATCCTTAGAACCACCAGGCCTTGTTTTTTTAATCCTTTTCTGCACCTAAGTTGTAGGCCCGTTGCTGTCTTCCCTTTTTCCCAGTTTTCACTTTTAAGCTACGTCACCGAACGTACACGTACGGGGGCCTTCCCGTACGAAACATACAGGTAATATCTGTACGGGAACCTGTACGTTTTCTACGCCCCCGTACGGGGAAAACAAAAAAAAATCATCAAAAAAATATGAAAAAAAAAATGTGCTGCAACAGCACAGAACAAGCAATATTTGGTTGAGCGTCATCTGCAGATTCTTATTATAATTTGAGGGGAAAAAAAAGTTGTACGGGCCCCTAGAGCACGAGTAGCGTACGAGTACGAGGGTGCGTACAAGCCCCTAGCGTACGAGTACAAGTCACAATGTAGCTTTTACGTCAAGACTCGGTCCTAGGTTGTAGGTTGTCGGTCCTAAGCTGTAGGGTAAATCGAGTCAATGCAAGCCTGAGTCTACAATCGTGTCGAGGACAAAGGGGAACGGGTTCTTTTGATTGTTCTTTTCACTAAGTATTGTTGGGGAGTGGGCGAAACGTTGCTGTGATAATTTCATCTTGAAGGGCACCGTCATCACCAGGGAGCTGACAGCCATAGCTGGGCTGGACACTTCTGCTAGGTGACAGTGCATGGGCGCAGGGCCCTGGGTGTTGATGGGCACCTCCTTACTGCTGTGCCGTGTTGGGGTTACTTCAGCTGTCATCGAAGCAGCTCTTTAATGAGGTCTTCTTTGAGAGTGGCACGATACATCTTCATCGTGTTGGAGTTATTCTTTTGGAGAGCTACTCTCCCCTGTTAAGCGGGCACTTCATCCGCAGTAGGCATTGTGATTGAACTGCTGAATGTCGTGTTGGGTTCAGGAGGGTCGGGGGCGACTGATGGGCTGTTGGGTTGGGCGCTGTGCCGCACCATAGCTAGAGCTTGATTGGAGGGAAGAAAACTCCCAAATACTGCGATGAAACTTGTGTAAATAATTAGTACCTTGGTGTTAATAATGTGGTTGGTATTCTTGGGGAAAAAACAGTACGCTGATTGGCTGGATGGAGCGGCGAATTAATTAGAATCATACATGCGGCGCATCACGTGCGTGCAAGTTGCGCATGTGCGCCGCATAGCGCGCGTGCGCGCAAACGTGATGCCGCACAATTACGAAAAAAAATAAAAAAATAAAAAGGGCAGGCTGTGATAACCAAATGTGTGCCTCCCTTTTGAAAACCGTAAGTGCAAAAAAAAAAAAAAAAAAGGTGCTACATCGTACTCCTCATTGGATTTAGTCTCTTTTCCAAAGGGTCCCTTGCAAAGAATTAGCAGGGATCCCACACATTTCGAAGGACGTTCATCGAACTGCTGGAGCATCATGAACGGGCCAGCACTATATTCTAGATTTGAATTCAGGTCTATGTTTCAAGAGTTATGGGTTACGAACAAACACTACAGTAGCTGTCTCATTTTTTTGTTTTTCCTTTTCTTACGCGCAATGGCCCTAAGGGCCTCGCTCCACTCATCAGCACTTGCACAAAAGAAAATCATATGGCTTGTATGGTTCCTATTTCTAGGAGAACATTCATTCTACTTTTGTACATTTGGTGAGCAGTGGAGTGAAGCCCTGAAAATCACATGCTGGAGTTAGTAAGTCGGTAACTCATAGTTGCTGAAACATGGACCTGAATTCGAAGCTACACCATACATAGTTGACCTGCTCCCTCCTTACTACAAGACCAACGACTATCCTTCTCCTGCTTACGAGATCCTTGCTAAGTTGCCAGAGAACTTTTGAAGAGCGGGAAGGGGATTTCTGAATAATGTGAAGGGGCCAAAGGGTTATTTCTCTCTCTCTCTCTCTCTCTCTCTCTCTCTCTCTCTCTCTCTCTCTCCAACGTGTGTACACGCATCAAGGTTGCTTTTTTTTTTTTTTTTTCCGCACATTTGTGGTCAACACTATTGAGCGCATCGGGGGGACCCTCTTGGCCGCGTCCTGCAGGATTTTGCAGGACTTTATCGTAAGGGAGCTTTCGCTGCTCCGGCCAAGTGCGCCAAACATACCTCTCACGAACCCCTATGACAGAATAGGGGTCGCGCAAGGAACCACTTACCTCTGCCCAAGGGGCTGTCGCCACCCTTGGACAAGAGTATCCCCATCGAGCCACTGAACCACACGCGGAAGCTACTCAAGTGCAATCACAGAGGTGGCCCAGCCGAGGGCGTCTCTCGTTCGCTGTAGCATAGGGAGTACGCGCCGTCGAACATCTTAATCAGACCCGTACGTGAACCGATGCTTAGGGGGCTGATCTTCCCAAGCGCAGCTCTGCACCGGTCGACTAGAACGGTCTATCTCACCACGTGATGCACTTTGCAAAGACAAAATAAAGTTTCACTCATAAATTGTGCCTAGTCTCTTTTTCATATCCGACCCATAACCTTTGGCAACAAAACACGCAAGTGTCACGTGTGAGACTCTAAATGAATATCGGGGTGACGTAGGCCTAGACATATCAATTAATTCACCCGACCGCTTTCGACACTTCGGTGTCAACTGACATGCGTCTTGATGGGTCTTGATGGGTTAATCTCTTGACACTAGACAATGGTAAGTGCGATTGCGAGACCAACCCTCTTCTGCACACTACGCGGTTTAGTGGTAAGTGGGCCTTGGCCCTTAGTGGCGACCAAACGCCTCTGAGTCTAACAACGGGGCTCCATCTTCAGAGGCCTTGACTTTGACAGTCACCATAGACCTGAAAGTCCAACCATAAAATTTTAACAAGCAGATAAAAAAAGGGATTTCTTCTTTCCTGTCAACCCAAATCCACTCGATTCTTACACGTGGTCAAAAAATACCACACGAATATATAATATAGAGATACAACGGGTCTTTGGACACGAGGCAATAACTCTCACAATCACAGTGTGACTTCCTTTTAAATATATAGGAATGATCGCAGGCAAGTCAAATCCTAACTTCAAATCATAAAACATACCTGCAATCACACACAGATTCAACATCGACAGACCACGCATTACACGTGGTCAACTTCAACCACTCTCTGCACTTACACCCCTTACCTTATTCACACAAGCATCAACCTTTGTCCAACCTTCCAAAAGAAAACACTTATTTTTTTTTCAACGACCATTTAATAAAAGTCTGGGTAAAAACCCAAAGAAACAATTCAACCCACAGAGGCTAAGGCCTTAGGTTGAGTCGCGAGTATGAGTTTGAAGTTGAATTGTAAACCGGCCCGTTATCAAAAAATAACAAAAGATTGTCCTTGTAGGATCAGGTTGACCCCTAGTTAAGCCTTGAATCAAAATTGAGCAAAGAGGACATGTTACACAACACAGGCCAATATCCAAGCTATGCTTAAGTGATTGAAGAGTAACACCCCACTTCGCATCTCACCCAACTTCTCATAAGATTAAGTTTAAATTTATCTCCAAATGGTATAAGGAATTAGGGAAACATTTGGCAACACCTCCCCTATACAGGTTGTATCGCCAAAGTTTTGAACTAAATGGTATCAGGAATTAGGGAAAATTTTGGCAACATCTCCCCTATACAGGGTGGATCGTCGAAGTTTTTCTTACCAAATACAATCTACCTCTTTGAAACTATAAATTTTTTGTCAGTACTCCATCTAGACAAAGTGCCTCTTCAAAATTTGTACTCAGTTAAATATGAGGTTAAAGAACGACTTTGACTTTACAAAGTCAAATGTTGTTTAACTCTTTTGGGCAGCATTTCCTTCATAAAAGTAGGTTTCCCAAATTTATACTAAGCTATATATAAACTCAAAGACAGAACTTGAACTTTGCTAAAAAAAAAATTAACTCACTTTTTAGATTTGTAGAAATTTCGACAACACTTCATCTAGAGAAAGTGTCTTTCCAAATTTTGTACAAGCTAAATATGAATTTTAGAAATACTTACGACTTCATAAAGTCAAATTTTGTCTAACTCTTTGACACTTCCCCTAGAAAAGTAGGCTTCCAGGATTTTTACTAAGTCAGATATGAAACTCTAACAAAAACTGAATTGGATTTGTAAAAATTTGGGCACCACTTCCCTTAGCGAAAGTGTCTTTCTAAAATTTATACAAAGTCAAATATGAGATACAAACTTAACTATGAAATGCAAAAATTGAACCAACTCCTATAGCTCCAGCACATGGCGAGCATCTAAAGTTACTACTTATCTAAAGACAACTTCAGCTAAACTCAAGGCAAGACTCATAGTCAAGCAAACACATACAATCAAGGTACGTCTCTCAAAAGAAATGTGAACCAACGATTAAAGCAAATGCAAACACTTCACAAACAACAAACGCGAATGACAAGATTAATGCACACGCAAATGAAACGACAAAGCAAACGTGAAGATTGGCAGCAAACATAACATACCCAAATAAGCCAGCGAAGGGATTGTGGCCCTTTCACTACTTCTTCCCAGTCCAAATCCTCCCAGCTAGCCATAGGCTCTTCTGCCTTCTTGAGGCCAGGAAGAAAGTACTTCAGCGATGACCTCATACAAGCATCGCTTTTTGCAGAACCCCTGTGTAATCAACATGCCCCCAAGCCCCGCAAGCAACAACACCAAAAAGCCCCCCAAACCATATGGCCCCCCACCTCCTCACCCCCCAAAAGACACAAAAAAGACCCTCAAATGATAGCTCGCAAAGACGGCAAAAGAGCCCCAAAACCATACCCTGCCCTCTCCAAAGGCATAAAAAGGGCCCCATAACCAAAGCCCCCCCCCCACAAAAAAAACAAAACAATAGCCTCACCTCCCAAGACACCAAAAGGGCCCTACAACCTTAGCACCACCCCAGAGACACCGATAGGATCCCAAAACCATAGGTGCCAAAGACAACAAAAGGGCCCCAAAACCATGCCCCACCCACTCCAAAGACACCAAAACGGCCCCATAACCATAGCCCCTCATAGACAGCAAAATGATCCCCAAAGTCATGTGGATTTGCCTTTTTTTCCGACAGCTTGTATAATTTATTGGCAAAAAAGTGAAATGATCAGAGATTCATAATGGTTGTCATATTTGACTTGGTTTGATGCAAGATGATGTAGAAATCCTGTTGAAGTTTTTTTTTCCCTTTTTTTTGTCTGTCTGCATTTCTACACATCGAATAACGATGAAGAAACCCAAACCATTCTCTTCCTTAGGGCGAAAAAAACAAAAACAAAAAAAAGGTCATCGAGAGCAAAATGCTTGCCTCTGTGTGTGTGTGTGTGTGTGTGTGTGCGTATGTGTGTGTGTGTGTGTGTGTGTGTGTGTGTGTGTGTGTGTGTGTGTGTGTGTGTGTGTGTGTGNTGTGTGTGTGTGTGTGTGTGTGTGTGTGTGTGTGTGTGTGTGTGTGTGTGTGTGTGTGTGTGTGTGTGTGTGTGTGTGTGTGTGTGTGTGAATTGAAGAACACTACAGCCAGGCAAGGGGGAGGTGGATATCGTGGCTGAGGGTGCCGGTTCGAATCCGTGCGTGCACGGAGGAGGTCCTGTGGTTGATGAAGTACAAAGTTAACTGTGCACCACAAAAATCTTCCTTAAAAAAAAAAAAAAAAAGGAAGAAGAAGAAAATAAAAAAGAACGAACTCGCTGTTGGGGTGGGGGGCAACACGAATACCTCTTAAGTTTGTGAGGCCCTATGCTTGCAGGGGTCCCCTCCGTACAGCCTTAAGGAGTACTGGTAGCTAGGTAGTGAAAGGCGAAAAAACGAATTTGAGAGACGAATATAGTGTACTTATAAAAAAAAAAAAAAAAAAAAAAAAGATCATTTTGACATTTTCCGATTTTCTTATTTGAGCTTATTTATTCTCTTTCAAAACAAAGGAGCATATTTTGAACCCCAATAGGCCCAAACATCCCCACGTGAATTGCATGTGCCAAAGACCATGCACCACGTGCAGTCCATTTTTTGATTTTTTTTCCTATACAGAGCTCAAGAATCAGATTCTTCTTAAGACCCCCCAAGAACCCCCTCGAAGCATACTTCCAGAACCCCCCTTATTAGACCCCGCGGGTACCTCGGACCCTTCTGAATCAAGGTGTAATTGCTCACTTGCAATATTTAAATTTAAACTTCATATAAGTTCATAAATATATTTTTTGACTTGCCTGCCTGCCAGTTGAAAGGAGTGAGAAGAAAAAAAACGAAACGATAGCAATTCGAATAGAATGGAGCCTGGAGTTTAGGAGTAGGAGGGCGAAGTAGGAGGTGCCGCCTTAGCGCTCAAGTCCTGCAACACGCAAGCACGAAGGTTATCGTTTCCATAGAGCATGGAGCTCAGGCGCCATACCCAGGATCGCGCAGCACGGGGAGACGTGTGGCTCAGCGCTCGACCCCACAGGAAGGTCGAGCAGTAGTGGCAAGAGCTTGTCCTTTGGGTGATGCCGAAGTCGCCGGGTTTCAGGTTAGTGGAACAATGAGCAGCTATTGACGTTATCAACAAGTCGAACAACCCTGCGCCGAAGGACGCTGTCTGAAAGACACCGCCCTTCCGATGGAACATATTTGAGCTTACCTCTGAAAGGACCCACGTGCTTACCTCGGTCAAGCAGCACCACCATGGTCTCGAATGAATGGTGAAGTTTACACCTGGACGAACGCTTTATCTCCCCGTGGTGAGGAACATCTTCGGATGAGAGAAGGAGCCAAAGAGGAGATGGAACGGTCGAATCCGAGTTCGGCGCACCCTGTGGGCTGGACTTAAAGGAAACCTGGGGCCTCAACTTCAAGGACCGGTGGCCACTGGACTCCAAGCTGCTAATGTCAAGGCTGCATGGTAGCCTAAGGGGGCATTGGACGTTTCCCCTTAATCTCAACGAAGTCCGGTGTTATCACGTGCTTGAGCACGTTATCTGGCCATTCACGGTTCACAAAAGGAATCTACGGTCAAGGAGGGTTTCCTATGGACCAGTAAACTAAGAAAGGTTGGATTGGATATATTCCTCTTTCCTATTTGGGTAATGGAGGAAGGTAAGACACACCCTGGAAAGGGGAAAACACACCCTGGAGGAAGTGTAGCGGACGACTGGCGGACGGACCTGCGTTGGAGAATCGATTCTGGCAAGGAATCACAGAAGCTGCAACGCGGCCGCTTGAGGACGAGAGGATTATGGAGCATAATCGAATGGTCGAGAGCACAATGCGGCGGCTTGAGTGAGAAATAGATACGATGGAATTCACGAAACCGCAATGCGGCGGCTTCAGTGAGAGCGAGAGCAAGAGCGAGCCAGCGGGTGAGAGAGAGAGAGAGAGAGAGAGAGAGAGAGAGAGAGAGAGAGAGAGAGAGAGAGGTAGCGTGCTGAGTTACTTGACTTGATTCTCTTCATACCCCATTTCACCACGGGGGTGAATTGATCCGGTAGGAAAAAAACTGATTTTGACCAATTAACTGAGGCTTCTGAAAGTTCCGAAGAATCATCGGAAAACTTCGAAAAACCTAACGGATCATCTGTGCTCAGGTCTATTCAGAATAGCTCTATCATCCTCTATGTAGTTGCTGAAGTGACAAGTACAGGTATTCGATGAGATCAGTGTTGAATAGCTTTAGTCCAGATTTGCATTTTCTAGATACCTCAAGATGGTCAGATAGCAGTCAAACTGTACTTCCATCAAGATGAACTGGTTTTGGTATGCGCTTCAAAGTTTTTTTTGGGGAAGGAAAGTCTATTATAATAGTACTATTGGAAAGTAATGGGATGCTGCACCCGGTTTGCAGCACGAGCTGAAGCTGGGAAAGCTACGCAGGTTTGGAGGTTCTGAGAAGGCTCAGCAAACAGAAAAGACGAGACTGTAATGAGAGGAACGCTGTCGGGGAAGGCCGTGAACAAGGTGAGCTCACACCAAAACTTTCAAAAACGTATCTAGCTACTATTCTGGCTAAGTTAAGATTTTGTTGTTTTTGTTTTTGACACTTTTGTATTTCTTCTTTTGTTTCATTTTAGTGCCCTACTAGGGCGGCAGGGCAGATTCCACGGGCTGCTGACACAGTGTCACAGACGGCACACCCACACTACTGGTACTCAGTTGTTTCTTTTTTTTGGTTTTCGCCTTCTTTCATGGACCTGACCACGACGCCCTATCCCCCTCACAGCAGGCACACTCACACAAAGCACTTTGGTGGATGTATCCACCTGCTGTGAGGGCGATAGGGCGTCGTGGTCAGGACCACGACGTCCTTCTTCTTTTTTCTTCTGTCGTGGACGTTACCTGGGTGCTGCAACGTCCTGCTTTTCTTGTTTCAATGCAACACTCCGTTTTGTTTTTCCAAAACAAGACTACCACAAAATGAAACAGAACGGGACCCGGGCTCCGCAAACGCGGTGCGCAGTCTCCAAAAAAAAAAAAAAAAGGCTCAGCGCGCAGTGAACATCAGGGTCGGCAAATACATGCTCGGAGATAGTGGTGCTTTAAAGACCGTTTCTCGATTTGTGTGTGTCATCCTTGCACAGGGACCATGCCCATCTTCTCTTTCTCTGTACTGCTCCAATTTTAAGATGATGCCCCATAGGATGCACTGTCGTTCACCCTTTTCTTCTTTCTATGAAAAAAAGGGAGGATGTCCCAAGGATGCTAATTAAAAGACCAAATTTAAGACGATGTCCCAAGGACAAAAAGACCAAATTAAAAGACCATGTACTGCTCCAATAATAAAAAGACCAAATTTAAGACGATGTCCCAAGGATGCTAATTTAAAGGTTATGTCCCAGAGGGATGCAGTACATTGAACACCGATTTCTTACCCGCATCGCAGCGTGTGGAGAGATTTGCAGTCGACCATCAGTCTCTCCACGGCAGCCGGTGTTAGCTTATTGCAGTTTCTGGACACAGCAAGAGCAGAACAGAGCACATTAATGATTAATACATGTCTTTCTCCCCTCCCTTTTTTTTTGACCTTTTTTTTTGACAAGCGGACACCCGCCGCAGCCATGCCCAGGGCACAGAGCAGCTCCTCCTCCTCCTAGCCCAGGCCTTACCCAAAAAAAGAAAGAAAAAGAAAAAAAGACAACAACAAAGCCATGCTAATTTTCAATTTCCGTACACCACCATCACTGCAGTCGGCTCAAGTGAAAAAAAAAAAAAAAAACTTTGAGTGGACGGCCGTTGGCTCAGCGGTTAGAGCACCGGTTGGAAATGCGCATTGTGGTATGAGGTTGCGGGTTGAAAACTCCGTTGCCTCGCACGGGTACACCGGCAGCGTTTTCATAGCGCACAAGCCATTCACACACTCCCCCTTGGGCTGATGCATGGTAATTATCCCAAACACTGCCTGCACACCAGCCTCAGGGTTTGGTCCATGGTTGCAGTATGCTGGTAGAACGGCCTTGAGGGAGGGCTGTTTTGTGTGGTTGGCCTTGGGGTGGTCCGACGAGTGCGTGTGTGTGTGTGTGTGTGTGTGTGGGCGGGTGGGTGTGGGTGGGTGTGCGTTGTGTGTAGTGTGTGTGTACTGTGTGGTCCACACACATGCAGCTGTTGCATCGTGTTGATAAACAGGTTACGAGTTTGAATCCTGACCGAATTAAACGCCACACACATGTACGCTTGACTTAGCTCAGGCCCTAGTAGCCCGTTATTGAAAAAAAAAAAAAAAGAACTCGTAATGAATCTGAGTTAGCTTCTGATCCGACAGTGCGGAAGTTAGGCAATTTTGTTGAGAAACGCAGATCCCACCATTTTCCGAAATCACAGGGCGCCGCGCTTTGTTAGGGGTACGTTTTCGGGTTATGTGTACGTGGCGTGTCGGGCGTGATGAACGGCCCAACGGCGCTACACAAAATGGAACGGTCGAGGACCCCTACCCCTACCGAGAAAGCCACCGCAAAAGTGAGTCGCCCTTTTCAATGTCCATCCGTGGAGCAGAGGACTGTACGACACTGGAGGCCAGGCCATATGGCAGACCACAGGAACATCCATCTCCGTGGAAGCCCAAGAAAATCCGGCGCGGTACTTGGGGAAAGACCCGCGGAACCTGCCTGTGTGGGGTCCCAGTTTGCTTTTCCGGCCCGCACTACCCGTGTCCATCTTTCAAGGGACTTTCTTGTTTTTTCTCTTTTTACGTATTGTCGGATCAGCGCCTTATCTCGGTAATGGTGTCATTGTACACAGCTGATTCGAAGTTATATCACACAAACAAGTTTCACGGAACTTTCACCGCATGCGCTTCGCAGCATGGTATCTCTAATGTTTGCTGCAGTTGAAGCGCTTGTTAAAAAAAAGAAAAAGAACCCTTTATGACTGGCCTAGATAGATTGCCTAATGATAGTGCCAGGCAAGGTTACCGGTGTTCGGGACGGTCCGAACGCCCGAACCCGAACGCCCGAACGTTCGGCACCCCGTCTCGACGCGTTCGGCCGTTCGGCCGAATGCAGACCCAAAAAAAAAAAAAAAAAAAAAAAAAGAGAATTCCAAAAAATCTGAAAAAAATGTATGTTATGCAGAAGAATAAACTAAGCAACATTTGCCTCAACGTTACATCCAAATTGTTTACCAAATTTGAAATAAAAATCAAATACTAAAAATATTTAAAATAAATAATAATAATGGAAATTAGAAAAAATAAAACGAGAAATTCGAGAATGAAATTATTGAGTGGGCGAGCACGTTTTTGACACAGCCATCTTTGGCGGTTTTTCTTTTTTTTTTGGCTGTGACAAATGCCATGAAAATTTATATATGTATATCTTACATAATAGAGAATCTACAAATGAAGTTTGAAAAAATAATATTTTTTTTCATGCCCCGAAATAAAGTAAAAACAAAAAATGAAAAGAGAGAAAAAACAAATTAGTGAATGGGCAAGCAAGTTTTGACACGACCATCTTTGCCGATTTTTCATTTTTTTTTGGCAGAACAGAATGGCTTCAAAATTAAGAGCGAGATACATCACAAAGAACTCACAAAACAAAATTCAGAAAAAAATAATAATATTTAGGTGCCAAAATATTTTTTTGTGGGGTCCGAACCCCTCCAGGTTCAGGCCCCGTACGGCGACCCAAACGCCCGAACGTTCAGGGGTCAGCTTGGGGCCCTCCGTACGTTCGGCCTGGCAACCCTGGTGCCAGGACCATAAGGACCTATTTTAAATTCCACACTTGCAAGAGCGCATGTCACGCATGCGATTGCGGACGTGC